GTGTGTGTGTGTGTGTGTGTGTACATAAATCATTTTATAGAGTTTGGCTTAATCAGGAAGACCTAGAACTAATCTCTAACAAGTGCTGACAAAGTGACCCTGTTGAATTCTTTAACTTCTTAGAGTCTGATGTGATTAAGAAAGGAAAAAAAGATAGGTAGAAAGATAGAAGAGAAGAGAGGGAGGAAGAGGAGAAAAAGAAGAAGATAATAGTGGTGATGATGATGATGATAATGAAGAAGAAAAAGGAGAAGGAAGGCAATTTCATATGTATGTGTATATATGTATGTATGTATATATGTATATACCTGCACACACGTATATGCATACATACAAACATATACACACTCACACAGTCTAATAAACTATTTTAAAAAATATTTGATCCTAAAAATAGAACTTGTGCCATGGCAGTACTATTTTTTTAAATTACTGACAAGACCGGTTTTTGGCTACTTGGGAATTAAGGATAGTAATCTATTAATGAAATTTGGAATCCTTCTTATCTATCAGTATCATTTCTATTTTAATACTGATTTATTTTTACAGTTAAACTTCCAGGAGTAAGAACTTATATTGATCCACATACCTATGAGGACCCTAATCAGGCTGTCCATGAATTTGCCAAGGAAATAGAAGCTCCATGCATTACCATTGAAAGAGTTATTGGAGCAGGTATGATAACACCATTTAAGTATAAAATCTTGTCTTATATTTATAAATTAATGCCTAAATGTTGTGTTCATCAGTGCATTAGCACACATAAATTGTTTTTAATATGTGAAATTTAATTCTCACAAATGTAAAGTAAGAGACCAAATTTTCAAAGCTACTTGTTTTCTATTGCCTGATGACATAACTCATGTAAATGAACATATATCAATCTCTTGGATTAAACAATGAACAGAAAACTACATGACTCCATTTTTGCAATAGCATGGATTTGTATATCTTAGCCACGTAATGCCAACTTGTGATTTTCTCATTTGTCAACAACTTTTGTTGTTGCTGCTCTTCATTTTTTTCATTCTCTCTTATTCTATAGGCTTTGAATCATTTCACTAATCTCTATCACCACCACTTGAATAAAGGAAGAAAAGGCAGGTGAAGGGAAATCTACTAGTTCAAAATTATTTTTTTTTGTTAATAGTTTTGATCCAGGTTAGCTGGGTTGTAAGAGTAAAAAAAGCTATGGCTTTTACATTTTATTATTTTCTCTGAATTTCTTCATCTGCATATGTTTCTCCCTATGAGCATACATAATTGTCTTTTCTGGTTCAAGAATTGAAAATCTGTATTCAGTAAGATCCAGCATCGTATGGGTGTACTTGAATAATATATTAAAAATCTTTGTTTTTGTGGGTATTTATACACAAATAACTGCTTAAGTATTTTTTTAAAAGTCCACAAACTTGGTTGCTAGTCTACTAATAAGAAGCCTATACCATTTTAATCAAGCAAAGTTGAAACACACAGTCCATTACTGAACCAGTATTTTGGAAAATGTCCAGATAAGTATGAGTTTCATTTTCACTGAATGGCAACTTAAAAAAAAATAACCTCAGTCAGTTATAGGCCATGATGAAGCATCAGAAGAGGCTTTTACTAGAGGAATTAGAAACTAGGATTATAGGTTCATAGATCTAGAATTGGAAGGGATCTCTGAATCACATAGCTAAAAATAAAATACAAAAATTTTAATTGTCTCTTGGTCAACTGGCCCTAATTTGAACCACTTGACTTAAAATGAAAGCTTTCCCATCTGCTTCATCTTCACTACCAGGTGAATTTGGTGAAGTCTGCAGTGGACGTCTAAAATTACCAGGAAAAAGAGAATTTCCTGTGGCTATCAAAACTCTTAAAGTGGGTTATACTGAGAAACAACGGAGAGATTTCCTCGGGGAAGCAAGTATCATGGGGCAGTTTGATCATCCCAACATCATCCATTTGGAAGGCGTTGTGACCAAAAGTATGTATCAACTTCTATGTGATTGTGTTCTTTGAACACTAAACTCCAATATTCTTTCACTTTATCTGGTAGGTTGTGGCTTTTAGTACAGAAGGAAAACAGGTCTAGATGACATTAATATTATCTAATGCTAAGTAACTTTGAAATGATGTGTTCCTGTTTTAAAAGATTCCTGGGCAATTTGAGCTTATCTGTATATAAGCTGTGCTTTTAAGTAAAGGTGAATTTTTAAAGGCTATTGTGAGAATGAGCAAATTTAATAATAACCTAACCTCACAGAAATATTAATCAGCTAATGCTAAGAAGCAGCAATAGTGTTAATGTTATCTTTGTCCTACTCCCATGTCCCTTTATCCTAATGAAACACAATCCTCAAAGGATAGGGACATGGTTCTAATATGAATGGCATATCCACAGGTGCCATGCCACCCTTAAGCAACCTTTTATAGTCAGTTGTATTTCTTTCTTTCATTTTCTCCATTGAGGTATTTTAATACCTCCATGGAAAGCAACGTCCTCAAAAGACTGAAAATGTCCCAGTGACAAATGTCCCTCAGGCTTCATTATTTCCCTTAAATCAGTAGCAACCTGTTCAATTTTGACTCAGACTTTTTTGTAGTCTTCAGACTACAAAAATGATATCCAATGCTTCCCATCTATTTTGAAACTTCTGAGGCTCTGGGACATTCCACATGTGTACTTATTTGGTATCCTAGCTCATTTCTGAGGTATTTAATAGCAGATGTAGCAATCCACATCAGCTACCATTAGACATCCCTAAGCCTGCAGGAATCCAGAAGTAACCCTTTAATATTAATTAACCAGAGGGGAATATGAAAGGTAAATGGCACCATGGATAGAGCACTGATCCTAGAATCAGAAAGAGCTGATTTCAAATTCTGCCTCGCATACTTACGAGCTGTGTCAGGCTGGATAAGTTGCTCTGTCTACCTCAGTGTCCTCATATGTAAATGAGGATAATAATAATACTACTACCTACATCCAAAGGTAGTTGTGAGAGTCAAATGAGATAATATTTGTAAAGTGCTTTCCAAAACCTAAAGTACTAAGCTATTAACTATTAAGTTATTAAACTATTAGGCTATTAAAGTACAAGCTATTAACATAATATGTAAGTTTTATACCAAGTGGTATTATAATACCACCTCAAGCAATTAGTCCAGTGATTCCATCAAAGTTTCTCTGGAGCACAACCATATAAGATTCTATGTTTCTATAGGCCACACATTAGAATTTACTTTAGCAAAAAAGTCTTAGGTGCACTAGAGAATTCTAGATTTGTCCACATGCTGTCATGATAAGATCATAGACAGATCTGGAAGAGATCTTTGAAGTCATCTGGTAAAAGCCCCTCATTGTACTTTTTATTTTTTTATTTTTAAAAATTAATTATTTTTAATTTTCAACAATCACTTCCAAGAGCTTTAGAACCAATAGGAGGAACCACAAGAAAGAAAACAAAACAAAAGAG